AGCAGGAACCCCAGCTCCTCCAGGAACCCCAGTCCCAGCAGGAACCCCAGCCCTGCAGGAACCCCAGCCCTGCAGGAACCCCAGCCCTGAAGGAACCCCAGATCCAGCAGGAACCCCAGCTCCTGCAGGAACCCCAGATCCAGCAGGAACCCCAGCCCCTGCAGGAACCCCAGCCCTGCAGGAACCCCAGCCCTGCAGGAACCCCAGATCCTGCAGGAACCCCAGCTCACCTTGTTCTTCTTGCCGTCCACCTCGAAGACGGAGATGGAGCCCTTGCGGTAGATCTCGTCCCCAGGGGGGTGCTTCCACACACACTTGGCCTGGGACAGGGACACCGAGAGCGGCTGTCACCGCTGCTCCCGCGGCAGGGGATGAGCCCTGCCTGCAGGATTCCCACTGGGAATGATCCTGGCCTGCAGGATTCCCAGCAGGAATGATCCTGGCCTGCAGGATTCCCACTGGGAATGATCCTGGCCTGCAGGATTCCCACTGGGAATGATCCTGGCCTGCAGGATTCCCAGCAGGAATGACCCCTCAATGCTCCCTCAGCAGGATTCCCAGCAGGAATGACCCCTCAATGCTCCCTCAGCAGGATTCCCAGCGGGAATGACCCCTCCCCAGTCCCACAGCAGGATTCCCAGCAGGAATGACCCCTCAATGCTCCCTCAGCAGGATTCCCAGCAGGAATGACCCCTCCCCGCTCCCTCAGCAGGATTCCCAGCAGGAATGAGCCTCCCCAGTCCCACAGCAGGATTCCCAGCAGGAATGACCCCTCAATGCTCCCACAGCAGGATTCCCAGCAGGAATGACCCCTCCCCGCTCCCTCAGCAGGATTCCCAGCGGGAATGAGCCTCCCCTCACCATGTGCCGGCGCAGGATGGTCTGGCTCTTCATGTACTTGAGGCAGAACTCGCACATGTAGAGGCGGCCGAGGCGCGCGTACTCCTCGGGGTAGGGCGAGTGGTACCACGTGTCCAGCTCGTAGCGCCCGAACGCGATGGTCTTGATCATGTTGCTGCCCTCGGTGATCTGCCCCTGCAGCCTCAGCTTCTCCTGCCCCGGGGGAAACACAAAAAATCCAATCAAGGCAGCTGGAGGACAACAGGGATTTGTTTTCCCGGAGGAAATCGGGTTTTGGTCCTGTAAATTCGTCTGTTGTTAAATTCCTACGGCTCCTCGCCGCTCCCCGGTGCTGTCCTGATCCCCAGGGAGCCTCACGAGTGCGGTGAGGAGCAGCTGGGGGTGTTTATCCTGGAGAAAAGGGGCAGGGGACACCCCAGGCTCTCCATAACCCCTGACAGGAGGGGGCAGCCAGGCTCTGCTCCCAGGGAACAACAGGACACGGCTCCAGGCTGTGCTGGGACACCTTTGGGCTGCACCCCAGGAGGAATTTCTTCCCAGAAAAAGGGATGGGAAGTGGAAGGGGCTGCCCAGGGAAGGGTCAGCATCCCTGGAGGCGTTTGGGAAGCCTGGATGTGGCACTCGGTGACAAGGTGGTGGTCAGGGCACGGGTGGCACTCGATGATCTCACAGGGCTTTTCCAGCCCGGATCGTTCTGTGGCTCCGTGACACGGCCCAAGGCCCTGCCCCAGGTACCCCAGCTGTCCCAGGAAAGCATCAAAGCATCGTTTGATCCCTCTCTGGAATGGGATGTGGCTTTGGGAAGCTGCTCAGGAGTTTCAGCAACACCAGGCTGTGAACTCAGCCACGGGCTGAGGCTGAGCTGCTTTTGTTGTCAGCAGCCCTGGGCAGGGAAGCCGGAGCTGTCACCGTCCCCTGGCAGCACCCCTGGAATGTCACCTCACATTCCTGAGCGCAGAGCTCAGCCCCAGCTGCTCCTCCAGCTCTCCCTGGGGATGGCTGGAGCTCACCCCCGGCCCTGGAGCTGCCCCAGGTCCCAGGACGGATCTCACCAGGTCCTCGGAGGCGCGTGCCTGAGCCCTCCGGAACAGCTCCAGGTCGTACTCGCTGGTCAGGTTCTCCAGGAGAGGCTCCCTGGTGTTGCCATAGGTTTGTCTGTGCTCCTGGAAAACCAAAGGCCGGGAGTTTGGCTGCTGAGCCGCTGGATCCTGCAGCTCTTCTAGCTGGGAATGCTGCAGGATGGCTGGGAGAGCCAAATCCCACCCCGGGAAGGGTGGGAAGGATAAAATCCCTGCTTTTTACCATGTATTTCTCCTTCTGCTCCTTGCTCAGCCCCGAGTTCCTCTTCTTCCTCAGCTCGGCCACCTTCTCCTTGTAGCGCAGCTGCCTCTCCGTGGGGGCCTGAGAGAAACCCCGGGTGGGGCCCTGAGGGGCTGCAGCCCCCCCAGACATCCCCCTGCACCCCAAACAACCCCGTCCTGAACCAGATGCTGGGCTAACCACAGGGCACTGCAGGAATGCACAGCAGGAAATTCCCCTTCCCGCCGCAGGCTGGGTGCCACGGGACGGGGCGAGCTCCCCACGCAACGCTGCGTGCTGGGGAGCAGCTCCCGGCTGACTCAGGCACCGGGAAATGTCACTGCCCTGCTTTGCCTCTCCAGGGATTACTCAGAGGGAAATTGCAGCTCACAGCTCCGCAGGAATTCCTGGTGCTGCGCGGCCAAACGCGGGGAGGAGCGGCTCGGCTCTCCCAGCCCGCTGAGGGGACAGCAGGAACTGCTCTGGCCCCAGGGATGTGCGGGAGGGAGCGCAGGCTGTCCCCGCTCACCTGGTGCCTGGTGGCGTGCCTGTTGTTGTCATCCTGCCTGTGGGCCAACATCCGCTCCTCGATCTGCTTGTCCCGGCTCTGCGCTCGCACCTGGAGAGCAAAACCGCTCACAGACCTGCAGGCACCTCCTGTCACCTGAACTGTCACCGTACTGTCACCTGAACTGTCACCTGAACTGTCACTGTACTGTCACCTGAACTGTCACCCGTACTGTCACCTGTACTGTCACCTGAACTGTCACCGTACTGTCACCTGAACTGTCACTGTACTGTCACCCGTACTGTCACCCGTACTGTCAGCTGTACTGTCACCTGTACCGTCAGCCGTACTGTCACCTGAACTGTCACCTGTACTGTCACCTGTACTGTCACCCGTACCATCACCCGTACCGTCACCTGTACTGTCACCGTACTGCCACCTGAACTGTCACCTGAACTGTCACCTGTACTGTCACCTGTACTGTCAGCCGTCCTGTCACCTGTACTGTCACCCGTACCGTCACCTGTACCGTCACCCGTACTGTCACCTGTACTGTCAGCTCTCCTGTGAACCCCTCCTATCACCCATACTGTCACCCCATCCTGTCACCCGTCCTGTCACTTGTACTGCCACCCATCCTGTCAGCCCTCCTGTCACCCGTACTGCCACCCATCCTGTCACCCCTCCTGTCAGCCGTACTGTCACCCGTCCTGTGAACCCCTCCTGTCACCCGTCCTGTCACCCCTCCTGTCACCCCTCCTGTCAGCTCTCCTGTCACCCCTCCTGTCAAATGTCCTGTCACCCCTCCTGTCAACTGTACTGTCACCTATCCTGTCACCTGTCCTGTCACCCCTCCTGTCACCCCTCCTGTCAGCTCTCCTGTCACCCCTCCTGTCAGCCGTCCCTGCCAGGGCAGCGCTGCAGCTCCACTCCCGCTGCCCGCAGCTGGCCGGGCTCAGCGCTTCGTGCCAGAA